TGTTACACACTGGATCTTTAAAATTGATGTTATTTAACTCTTTTAATTATACAAAAAGTGGACATTTTTCCAACACTTTCCCTCATACAAGACATAGTGATCCTTCAATTTTCTATCCTCTTTTATTCTATTTTTTTTTTAAAGTAGGTTCAGTCAAACAATATGTGTCTGAATACATCGTGTACTGTAATTAAACTCTGAAATGTATTACCGCTCTGCCACATAGTTCCTTGTAGCTGCCCTCCAGTTTCAGAGTCCGCTTGGTCCACGTTAGGACGTCAGGGTCAGGAACCACCACGTGCGTATCAGCATGCCTGCAGATTACAAACACAGAGGGACCAGGAGGGTCAGATGGATATGTGGGCGTATTTAGGCTCCAATGGTAAGTCAACAGGGACATTACACACGCACCAACCAAAACCACACACACACAACACACACACCCACAACCAACACACACACCACACACACACACACACTTCCTCCACCTACCTGCAGACTGTCTCCATGCACATAGACCTGTGCCACTGCATCACTCCTCGTGTAGATGTTCTCTATCTTTTCAGGAGCGATGTACTCCCCCTGTGCCAGCTTAAAGATGTGCTTCTTCCTGTCCACGATCTTCAGCGTGCCATTCTGGGAACACAAATGTTTATCCACACGTTTATGAAACGTCTACAGGGTGGCAGAGATGCTGAATTTTATGAATCTAGTGAAGTCTTCACTGTACCCTTATCCTGAGCTTTTTTCTTTAAATTTATATTTAAAAAAAATAATCTGAACTTTGAAAAATAACAGTTTAATTTAATGGTCTTCAGTGAAATGCTGAGATATAAGCTTCCTTATATATATTTTTGTCTTAGTTGTCTTACAACCCTTGAACTCAAAAAGGCCTTGCGACCCTTTGTGAAGCTTTGGCAACCCTTAGTAGGGGTCAAGACCCACAGGTTGGGAACCAGTGACTCAACGTACCGGAAGCCATCTTCCAATGTCACCAGTGTGAAGCCATCCATCTTCATCAATAGTCTCCACAGTCTTCTCGGGGTCCTTCAGGTAGCCCTTGAACACGTTGGGACCCTTCACACACACCTGGAAACCCAAACACATATTCCGTTAAGAAAGACATGCTGTCAATATAGAAATATAAAATAAAAAACACACATGGTGTGCGTTTGTCTTTGTGTTTCACCTCTCCCTCCCCGTTTACAGCCAGGTAGTTCATCTCAGGCACATCCACCAGTTTAACTGAGTTACAGGGCAGAGGAGCTCCAACGTGACCTGTGGACATGAGGTCATGTTTACTTCTTGTTAAACCAGAGTAATCAGTCAATTTATCGCTTTAACAAGGCTACAAGCAGCTTTGTCACTTATTACCTGCACTCCAGTCCCCGGGCATGGTCAAGGTGCATCCAGCAGTACACTCTGTTTGTCCATAGCCTTCATAGAACTGAGACAGAGAAAAAACTATCATTATTATCATTACGGCTGCAAACACAGGATTATGCAATATAAAACTGTCTGGGAACAGAGGAAGGAGGGTGGATGATTACAGACTGTATTATGCTGCACAATTCCAGTTAAAGTTGGAAGAAAAGAGACAGGATATCATGTGAAACATTGGCTAAGGTCGACTTGAGTGTGTTTGTGTTACCTGACAGCCTATGGCAGCTCTGAGGAAGCTGAGGACTGTAGGGGAGATGGGAGCAGCTCCGGTTATCATGAGACGCACGCGACCACCGAGGCTGGCCTGTAGAGGGCAGCACACTACATGAATACTACCCCAACATACTATGTACAAAAAGTCAACCACATAAATATCCTTACTAGAGGCTGTTGTGTATATATCACTGTTGCTGTCAGGATATTAATCGGTGCCTTCTGTAACAGCCATGTGAGTTAAGCCTGTGTCTGCAAACCCTACATGACTTCATGCAACGTTTTATATTCTAGGTGTGCCTTCAGGCCCCATTTAAACCATTTATCTGAGTGAATTATAGCAAAGTAATTTTCAAGACCCAAATAACCCACGGCTTATTAAAACAAAGGCGAGTTATAAATTAAATTCAGACACAAAAGAGAGGAAATCCATTTGATTTGAGAGGAATATGCATATTTAAGAAACGCAGGGTCAGGACTAATGTAAGAAAAGAGTACAGAACAGTATTTCTGTTTACAGGGGTGAATTTATTGATCAGTTAGTGATGGAATAAACATGTGTGGTACGCTGCCTTATTGCACGTCACCCTGTATGAGAGGAGTCTGATCAAATCTGCCATAAATGTGTAGTTAAATCGCAGCCCTTCAATGTGAATAGAAAGAATATACAGAGGCAAGTCATCAGCTCACGTCATTCATCGACACTACCTGGATTCACTTTTAGACTAAAAATAGCCTTTTTGTGCTCAACACAATGTGGAGCTATTACACATCGTGCAAAAACTAAAATTCGACGTAATTAAATTAATTCGATCCATCAACCGGCCCTGGTAAAAACCATTCCTGGAGACCGTACAGTGACATAACAGGAGTTTTAACTGTGCTGGCTCTGTGTACCTGGACCTTCCGGAAGATGAGTCGATCCCAGATACTGTCTCTCCTCACGATGCCTTTCATTATCTCTGCCTCCTTCCTCCTGTAGGCAAACCCCAGCACCCAGCGCTTCAGAGAGCTGTTGGCCTGCCCGAAGATCTACAGAGGCACACACACACACAGACAGACACACACACACACACACACACACAGACAGACACACACACAGACACACCACACACAACACAAAGGCTCACCTTATTTATCAGGAACATCATCATAAAAGCAAATGAATAAATAAAATTGGCTATTAAACACACATGCATGACCAAAGTTTATTCATAGCATTCTCTTTCCTGTTGAGTTGACTGCAGATAACGTTTTATAAAAATCATGCAAATTAAAAGCTCTGTACGGGATCGGACCGGGCAACACAACGGTATTCCAGCCCAATCAGCAACATTCATGCTCATTTACAGGACACGAGGAAGGGAAGGGAGAGAGGGAGATGGGAGGACGAAAGGGGGCTGGTGGGAGCGAGAGGAACGGTAAATCTGGCACATGGTAACTTCCATGTGCCGGTTGAGTTCAAATATTAACAGGTCTTTCTCCAGAACCTGCTGACTCTACCTTTAACTCTGAAGCCTAACACTCCAATCGTTGCGCCCACCTACCTTATCATACATCCTGTTCAGAGTTCGGGGTACCACAGGGAACACAGTCGGCTTCAAGTGTTGTTTCAGGTCATCTGACAGCCAACGGAGTATTTCTCCCTGGAAATAGCCAATCTTGGCTCCGTGCACTAACATCACTCCCTGTCAGCATGATCAGCAGGAAAATGCAGAAGGGAAAGTTAAGGGGAAACCCATGGGATGAAACTGGAGCGGGACACACAGAGGGGTTTGGAGGAATACTGGACTGTCTTCAACAAAAGGGGTGACTAAGGGGAACTAAGGGAACATACGATACCTGTACTACTCTCTCAAACATATGAGCCAACGGGCAGGAAGGGAAATATGGGACATCGTTATGGCACATTGGACAGGCAAACCTAAACACGTGTTACACACAGACAGGAGTGGCAAACACACAGACATACAAACCACGCACGGATGGACATGACCCAGACCAACAGGGAACACACCACACACACAAAACACAACAGACACAGGAAGGGGAAAGGCAGTCAGTTTAATATCTGTACCTCCACCACTCTCTCAAAACATGTGGGCCAGAGGCAGGGAAAGACAGCATGATGTCTGCTGGGGGGTGTCTGAGCGTAAGGACTGGAGAGATAAGGGAAAGAGGTTTACAAAATCCCACACTCTTCAAAGAAAATAAAGTCTTATTATTATGCCCGCTTAAAATATGGCGATACTTCTGGACCCTGGAATCCAGCGAGAGTGGAAACCCCTTCCTCTTGTTCTTACTGTCTTTCCAATCCTTCCATTCAACTTAACTCAGCAGAGAAACTGACCATAATCTCGACAATAGGAGCTCCTTATTTGATTTCACGTTTTAATTTCTGGTTTCTCCCTTCACTTTATTCCTCAGGAAATCTGTTGAAGCCTTGGATGGCAATATATATGTGTTGTAGAACAGCAGTAATAACAGTATGGTCGATTATAGCAAAGGTATAATATTGGATCAAAATATAAATGTAATGTTTGTGTATTGAAGTGTGATATTAGCAGAGCAGTATCCAAAAAGTGAAAACATAATATATTTCACAAAGAATGCAATTGAGTTTATCATCTATCAATGAAAATCTCCTCCATCTCGTCATCCAACCATGCATTTGAGGAGGAGGAGAG